TTATTTGGTTCGTGCTAAATCATGTACTCACTTCTTAACCCTTTTGGGACCTATCTTTGATAAAATATTAGATAGAAATGTATTTTCGCATGTTAACTCTCTGTGTTGGTTAACTATTCAAATAAGGAACTAAATTTTTTGAGTTGTTTAAGTAAGGGTTGCATCTTTGAAAACAGTTCTCGAAATTGTTTTGCGATGATTCGAAAATATTGAGTCTTTAAGAGTACACTTTCAAAAGATAGAATTGTAATCATTCGTTTTAGGGTAGATATGATTGAATGCATATAAATCATCATTCTAAAAAATAGATAATTTTACGGTCTAAGTTTAAAATCTAGAGTTAAAGATGGGTTTGAGTGTCAGTTACGCGTAAAGAAAATTAAAGTACTCTAACAAAGCCCAAAAATTATACCTTTATGAAAAAATGCATATTATCTAGATTTTTTAAAATAAATGAAACACCAAAAATGTTAATAATAATTATCATAATAAATATAAATAATACATAAAATAAATAAGTAAGCAAATAATGTTAAAAGTAAATAACATGTTAGGACTAAATTGTAAGAAATAGTACTTGTAGGGGCCAAAAGATAATTAACATGTTCCCTCGTCCCCTCCTTTGATTTATGCTCATTGTTTTTTGGATCCCTGAATTTCATTATTCTCTCTTTTTCATATGTTCCCTCGTCCCCTCTTTTTTTCATGCAAGATTTAGATGGAAGAAATTTTAAATTCTTGTTAGATGGTTTGGAGATAGGGATAAAGTGGAGAAGTTTTTAAGGGAATTTTAAGTTCTGGGATGATGTTTGGATTCCAACTCTTGGTCCCCTCCGAAACTACGTTCTTGACCCCATCATCCCGGATATTAATCTCAATTTCCAGAGCTTCATTGATAGCCATGGCCAGTGGGATATTCCAGCCTTAGCTCTTATCGTGCACCAAGATGCAATCTCCCACATTGTTAATATTAAACCTCCATGCAATAATGATGTTGCTGACCACCCTATTTGGCCTTGGAGCAAGACTCTCCTCTTTGAGGTAAGTTCATCTTACACCAAGATTCTTGAAAACGAATGGGATGCTAAAGATAGCAGCTGGAATTTTATTTGGTCTTCGCATGTTCCCCAACGAATCCGTATCTTTCTCTAGCTTCCCATCAAAGAAAACTCATGACCAATTACGAACGCGGAAAACGAATGTTAACCCATGACAATGACATGTCTTGTCCATCTTGTAATGTATCTCTGGTAACTGTTACTCATGTGCTAAGAGATTGTAGTCGAGCACGTGGCTTGTGGAATTGGTTTCTGCCTCCTGCCATGCGCAACTCCTTCAACGTGGACCTAAAAATGTGGCTACTGAATAATCTTATAATGACGCAACCCCTCTTGGTCTTCAACTTTTGCATCGGCCACTTCACAGTTGTGGAAAAATAGAAATGAAATAATCTTTTGCAATATCTCCCAGCCGATTGAAAGGGTTATTCAGTGCAGTGTCAATTGGGCCATATACTATGACAAACCTTCCCCTGTTACAGACTCTCGCCAGGTACATTCTCAGGCTGAACCGACATGGTCCAAGCCTCTCCAAAGCTGGGCTTCCTTGAATACTGATGGTGCAGTCTCACATATCAGAAGGAATGGATCAATTGGTGGCGTTATTCGGAACTCAGACGGTATCTAGCTTGCCGACTTCCAGAGGAATCTCGGAATAAGTACTATTTTACAAGCTGAGCTCTGGGGTATTTATGAAGGCCTCCTCGTTGCGTGGAACACTGGTCTTAAACACTTTATTGTTCAATCAGACTGCTCTCAAGCCATTAATCTGCTGTCTGTCAATAATCCAATGCGCAGTCACCACTCGCTTGTTAGAGCCATAGCCAACCTTTGCAGTCGGGAATGGACTATTCGTTTTCGCTGGATGGCCAGAACTGGAAACAAGGTTGCGGATTGTCTTGCCAAGATCCCACCGTTGCTTCACTTCAACATGGTTCATTATGCTTCCCCTCCGTGGATATTGTGCACTTATTAGCTACTGATGGTGCGTCATCTCACCAAAATACAGCCTCAATTGTCTAGCCTTTTGTTTTAGGCATCTCTTTTAATTAAAAAAAAAAAAAACGTCTGCTTATCGTCTCCATAGAGTCACGTCTCTATGTTATTTCAAATGTTAGGTAGACGCTACACACTAAACATTTCACTACCAACCCTAAAATTATTAGGTTATTTATTTGAAGACAATGTTTAAAAACATTATTGACACAGATTATCCTTAGGACATCCAACCAATCTCTTTTCTTTAACTCAAGAAATTATTTTTGATCTTCATTCTTGAAAGTTGGGATAGATACTCTCGACGCTTACCAGGTATGTTTCACTGGAGAGAGAAATTGAATCCTCCGAATAACTTTTGAGCTACCCTAATAAACTTTAAATATCTAAGTTTAGCCTTAGTCTGTTGCCTAATTAACGATTGCCTCCTCAATCTTGAATGTAATCTCACGCCTTATTGTAAAGTATAAAAACCTCATTCAATCCTATTGAGCCACACTATTAAAGGAGAAAGACTGCATAACAAGTCCATTGAGGGCACCCATTTCTTGTCCCAACAGAAAATGAAATAATATATTCTTCCGACTAAGGAAGACAAGTGTTGTACCTCCACCAAAAGATCTTCCACACATCAACTATGTACTAAAGACTACTATAAATTCTTTCGAATATGATTGAGAGACGAGATATGATCCATATGAAACCATCTCACCCTTGTTCTTCTTTACATCCTTATAAAAATAAAGCACTTTGATATCAACCAACCACCGATCTTTTACTAACTACGATTTTATATCCAGATCAGAATGAGTGAATTGTGATGCATTCGATCCCATCAACTCATCTTTGTTGTTTGGTGTCTTTGGAGTAACAGGGATAGCAAATTCATATGTAATTTTTTTAGCAAGAGTAGATTCTTGACTTTTAGTAATTGAATTCAATAAAGCTTTAGATATAGTCTATGGTAAACATTCATTGGGCGGAATAAGTCATCATCTGACATGGTTCATGAGATGCTTGACCACAAAAATGGCACTTACCACGCGTCATCCATGCATCAGAAGGCTGACAGAAAATTGATTTCTTTGAAAACATTTGAATTGAATTGGCCGGAAATAGATTCTTAACATTCAACTTTTCTTGTTATGCATTATTGAAAATAAAACTACGGGGATTGCATGATCAAATTGAAAATAAAATCATTACTTGCAATTTTCTTGTGATCCAAACATGCAATAATGGTTAAGAACCGACTACTCTAATTTCTGAACTTTTGATTTCTCTAAGAATCTGAGATTATTCAAGAGGACCCGACTTACACATTCAAAGGCAAATTACCTTCTTCTCTCTCTTCTCCACAACTCTTGTAGCATTCTTCTTCATCATCCCGAAAACACAAACTCAAATGCAAATTACAAATCAATCTCTCAAAAAGAGAACAACACCATAAGATTTACAGTTGCCATCTCCAAATCCTTTTTATATAATATGACGAAGTAATATGTCCTCAACAGTCGAAACAACGTGCCATTATACCGCACTAAACACTAGGCGCTACACATTTAAGCCCCGAGCTCTTCAAGTAACAATCAAAGCAACATTTCCCCAAAAAGCCACCTCATAAATGTTGGTAACATTTCAACAGTAAAGTCTCAAGTTAAGCCACTTTATTGCATTTCTTCGATAGTAAAGTCTAAAGTTAAGTCACTTTATTACATTTCTTCGACTAAAGGGGACAAGCGTTATACCTCCACCAAAAGACTCTTCACACATCAACTCCGTACCAAAAGACAATTGAAACCCAGAAGCATTTTCAAATCTCTAACACCTCAGAAACTCCAGAAGACATAAAAGGAATGTCTCCGAAGTAAAGACCTTGAATATTTGACGTCTCTTGAGAAGATACGACCAATTAACATGACTTCTTACAGATCCACATGATCTACCAGAGACAAATCCATCACTACCCGATCCTATTCACTTAGTTTGTTAACCTACGAGTAGTCATTATATTCGACTGACACCCGTACTAATAATTACTATAAATCCTTTCGAATATTACCAAGTGACGATATACGATCTAAATGAAACCACTTCAACGTTGTTCATATCTTCTTTATCTCCTCATAAAAACAAAGTTCTTAAACATCGGTCAACTACCGATCTCTTACCCATTACGATTCTCTATTCAAATGAAAAGGAGTGATTTGCGGACCGAATTGGTGTTTTTGGGAAGTAGCAGTGATAGCAAATTCATATGTAATTTTCTAGCAAGTGTAGATTCTTTTGTAATTGAATTCAATAAATACTTGGATATAGTCTCTGGTAGACATTCATTGGGTGGAATAAGTCATCATCTGCCATGGTTCATGAGATGCTTGACCACAAAAATGGCACCATGCATCAGAACGCTGACAGAAAATTAATTTCTTGGAAAACATTTGAATTGAATTGGCCTGAAATTGATTCTTAATAATCAACTTGATTTGTTTTCACATTTTTTTCCCTTTTCTACTGTTGAAAAGCATTATTGAAAATAAAAGGGTAAATTATGCACTTAGTGCCTAAACTATTAATTTTAGTATGTCTTAGTGCCTAAATTTTCAATTTTTTCATAACCATACCTAAAGTTACTTTTTGTTTCATTTAATACCCACCGTAAAAAAAATTTAGTACATAAATTATCAGTTTTGATCCGTTTTAACACTTAAATTTTTAAGTTTTTTCCAAAACTTATGCATGATGTAGGTGCTAAATGTTTTGATACTTAGACTTTCACTTTTTTCAAAACTTAACAATAGGATACTAAAATAAAACAGATATTAAACTTTAGATATAATTTAAAAAAAAATTAAACTTTAGATATAATTTTAAAAAAATTAAATATTAAAATGAATCAAAACTTATAATTTAATTATTAAATACATAGTTTACCCATATGGGGGATTGCAGGATCAAATTCAAAATAAAATTCATTACTTGTAACTTTCTTGTGATCCAAACATGCAATAATGGTTAAGAATCAACTAGTCTAATTTCTGAATTCTTGATTTCTCTGATTCTGTGATTAATCAAGATTCAGGAGGACCCGACTTACACATTCGAAGGCCCTACAAATTGCTACCGATAGTACCTTATTAACAAGAAAAATTATAAGGAAAAAAAAGAATCAAATCTGTCCATTTAGGTTGAATTCCCCTGCAACAGCCAACAATTCTTGAGCTGAGATAAAGCAGTTTCCCTGAAACTCCGAACCTTCACCAAACAAAAATGGGTGCACTTTAACCCTACCCCCGAACTCACTTTACAAGTCTTCAACAAATAGCAAGCCGGTGCAAGCCCACGCCCTTGGCCTTGTACCACAATCCCCCATGCCCTGCAACACGCATCGCTCTGTTCATCATCATCATCATCATCTTCTTCTTCCTGTATTTGCTCAACAAAGATCACCCCATCAGGCATTGGAGTCTCGCCTTTATCCCATTTTTGTTTCACCGAAACCCAGTTGCTTTCATCGGCCTTTTCCGTTCGGATTCTCGTCGTGTTATCGTCGTCGGAGTACACGTGGACCAATAGAGGCGATTCCTGCAAGTTCTTGACGATATCGACGACCGAATCTCTCATCCACTCGTCGATCTTATGGTAGATCAATTCGTTCCGTTTCTTCTCTTGTTGTTTAGGCAATGGTTGAAGACTTACCTTGGATGCGGAGATCTTGGTCGACGGTCTTGATTTCAACGATTTTGGATCTGAAACCATGAAAGAACTTGGATGCACGTTTGGGTTATGGGAGTTGAGGAGATGTGAGGGCTCTTGGCGCTGAAGATAAACGTTTCCACCGCAAGAAACGCCGCCCACCACCGCCATTGTTGATGTTCTTGTTCCCCTGGGAAATTAAACCTAGCGTGCCCAAGGCAACAACAATAACGATGAACAGATAATAAAGAGAATTAACCCTAATTGGTGTTTGATTAGATTGGAGGAATTGAGTTGGATTGACCTATAAATAGAGTTTGGATTTTGAGGACGAAAGAGCGTTTAAGAGGTTCTCTTTACTTCAAGGCTGTTTGGCTTCCACGAAATTACAACTCAGGTTTTGATTCTCTACCCCATCCACACGCTAAATTCGTACAACCCATTACGTCAAAAAGTGGAATGTAAATTAAAGGGTGACAAATGGTCTCATATTATATTATATTATTTTGTTAAGTTTTATAATTATTAAAAATTATAAAATAATTTTTTGATTATAAATCGTTATTTTGTTGATTTCTCTGACTATTAAAAGTTACAAAATGATCAAGATTATTCATATGTTTCAAACTCGTTCTTTAACGTTAAAAAATTGATGACAATCTAAGTTGGACGCTAACCTGTTGATTAAGATATGATAAAATATGATCACATAGTCTCAAACAACTATCACACTCAGTCAGTAGATTAACGTCTACCTCATACAATTATTATTTTTTTAACGAAAAAAGACGAGTATGAAATAGAATGAATAATCAAATGACTATTTTGTAACTTTTAATAGTCAAGTGATTCAACAAAGTAACGTCTTATAGTCGAGGGATCATTTTATAAATTTTAATAATGTGAAAACTCAACAAACAACGCCTCGTAGTTAAGGGATCATTTTATAATTCTTAATGATTGAAAACTCAATAAAATAATATCTTATAATAGGGGATCATTTGTGTAATTTACTCTAAATTAAAAATGATAGCTACATATTAGTGCATGTTAATGACTACATTAAAACTCAAAAAAATATTAATATGTTAAAAATACTTTAAGTATTTAAATAAAAATAAAAATATATTACATATATCTATTTTAACAAAAAAATATTCTAAATACATATTTTAACCAAAATAATAATAATTTGTTAATTAATATGAGGTAAAGTATAATGTAATATTTGTTCAAATATAACTCTCAACTATTAGACATTAATAGCTCGTATTTCTAACATTATCGATGCTCGAATCTAAAACCTCAAAAAATATTAATAATTCTTTTACCATCATGATAACACGGATTCGTGCCTAAAATAATAATTTTAAATATTCAACATTGACAAAGAATACGTTAAAAAGAGAAGTTATAACTATGGGTTATAGCTTGATATCTTTTGGGTGATTGCAGGAGAGTACAAGTTAGGCGAGATGTAGAAGATAATTACCTGAGCCGCACTACCAAGAAAAGCCGGTCCTTTTGTGTAATTGAAACGTTGTCCATGATGTCTGGTCACATATGGATGTCGGATAATAGTGACCGTTGAAGTTTGATCAGACGGTGAGAGATGGAGAATATGACAGTGGGTGATGGTACGTGGTCGCACGCCTTCAATGCATGCAGAGTATACGCGGGCACACGCACCGCCCTCCCCCAAACCGTTTTTCTTAAACGTTAGCCACGTGATTTCCATGTCAACATGATATTTAAAATGTGTTTTTATATAATTCATACAAACATTTTTAGGATAAATTCCAAGAGTCAGTCATTTAACTATAATATCTGATCTATTAACCGATTAACTTAGATCGAATATTACAGTGGTAAGAACAATCCTCTCAATCTAGTTAGTTCTATTCACAAACGTCAGGATTCGAACTCCAAACATTACTTAAGGAATGTAGTATTTCTCATCTTACTAGATCAACTGGTTGTTAATAGTCGGTCATTTAACTATTATTTTTTTCTAAAAAAGCTATTAAACTATTTTTAATCAATAAAGCGGTCTTAATTAGGAATATGCATTTTTTAATTTTGAATATTAAATATTATCTGACCCAAAATTTTAAATATCTAAAAATTTGAATCGCTAAAATTATGATCCTTATCTGTTTTGAAAAAAAATAGATATCCAATTTTTTTGGATATCAAAATATCCACATTTGAATACAAAATATAATTTTAAAAAAAGATTTAAATTTAAATTTTATATTTTATGACTTTATGCAAAGTATTTTCTATACCTTTATTTTACATAAATATATATATATATATATATATAATTATTCACACATAATATACAATTAAAAATCTCAATTTTCATTGGGATACAACTTTGGTGAGTTATTGTCAATTATTGAGCTTAAAAGCTATCTAAAAATGCCCATTTTTATTAGATTTTTGAATAATTTAAATTTCGAATCTACTTGATTTATATTTCATCTAATTATTCAATTTTTGTCTTAGATATCCTATATGAATTATCTGGAAAAAATATCAGATATTTAAATTTTTGGATTAAATCACCAAATCAATGGATTGGATCGGCCGGATCAATGTTTTTTTGCACATCTTTAGACTCAGTGGTAAAAGAGAATATTATTCTTCCTAAAGATCTTGGATTCGATCAGCTATGTCTGTCAGGTGTGTGCACAATGTCAATTGGTTATGAGAGTTTTAAACAAGTACTACCTTGTAATCACTAAGACACTAGAATTTTACGTGAAAACTCTTTCGGATAAAATCACTGGCAAAAGATGATAAAATTCATTAATGTCAAAAAAAGAAGACTGCAAGGGGAATCCTTATAATAACTTAATATCTAACACTAATCTATAATATTTATTTATATAGATAATTACTTGATTACAAATGAAACTTATAAAGTAGAAATCTACTCAAATTAGATTTTCTACATAAAAAAACTCCAACTTTTAATCAAACTAAATTACTTACTTTCTCCAATGATCTCTTAGGTAATATCTTCATTAATTGAGTCAAAGGAGGCTATTATTTTCTCCTCTGTAACAAAGGAGGATTATGTGTTGCTTGTTAGGAATTTTTAAGCGAAAAATAACCATTGTGGTATCAACATAAAAAATATCACATACTAGAGGCAAGATTTAATGTGGTCCAACTTTGCTTAATCATAATAATAATAATAATAATAATCCACTATAAATGTATATAACACAAAGAGTACAAATAAATGCATCACATGTATCCTAAAATAGAATATCTCTACTAATACTAAAATTATCCACATTCGCACAAATCAACTTACTTCAGTAGTTAAATGAATTATTGTTGTTCTTAGAGATCATGAGTTCGAGCACCGGCGATTGCAAGGGTGATTGAACATTCGTAGTCAGATACTCGGTCATAAAGAACCATGATTCAATAAGAATTTTTCTTACAAATAAATTTAATCACCAAATAATATTCAACCACTAAAACTATAATAAAATCTAATTTAATCCTGATTCTATTTATGTATACTAAGACCCTCTTCTCCTAGTGTCTCTATATACCGTTTGTAACACCATTGTATTAATTAGTTTCTTCTCATATAATTTGATTTCCATACCGACCAAATATATATTTACATATGAACTAATATATTAAATTAATTGCAAAAAATTCTCCAAACTATATATTAAATTTCAGATAACACTTATTGATATGACATAGAAGCATAACAGTTATTTGAAGCATGAAAGATTGTAGCATTTCAAAAGACATTGCAGCCCAGGAATAAGCTTTATGCTTATTATAGTGCATTCTAAGTACGTTCACCATTCCTTTGGTGAAGCTTAAGTGGAAGCCCCATGGCTGGATAGGACATTGGATTGCATGATATAGGCTCATCAGGAACTGATTCAGTCCATTGATAGTTCATTATAAGATGATGGATAAGCAAAAGTGCTTTTATCCTTGCATATTCGCCTCCGGGACAGATCCGGGGTCCGGCTCCGAATGGAATATAAGTGTAAGGGGGAAGCAATTTTGATGAATCCTCAAACCTGGATCTTTGAAAATGTTGCCATCCATATGTGTAGCTGCCGCAAACCAAAACACCTGCGATTTGTATATATGTATGTACCTATGTCAGACATGTTAGATTTCCATCTAAATAGAGCTTCAACTTTGAAACTTAATCACCTTCCATCCTTTGGGGATGTCAAAGCCATCGAAAGTCGTGTCTCTCTGAGCGCATTTGAAGTTCCCGGAAGCCGGGGGATTCAACCTCAACAGCTCTTGGCCTACTGTCCATGTGTACTTCATCATTTGTATTTCACTCCAAGTTATAAGCTTCACATCTTTTCCTTCAATGGCCTTTGATACTTTCTTTTGCTCTACATTGATGCAAATGAAATATTCATAAGCACATTTAGTGTTGAATCAAACGGTTAAAGGCTTAAAGCAAACTTTAATTTCCAATTACCTTGAAGGACCCTGTTGAAAGTCTCCCTATCCCTTGCAAGGTGCCTTATAAAATGTCAGACGAGTGATGATGTTGTGTCATGGCTAGCAATCATCACAGAGATCAGATCATCTATGATTTCCTCCTCCATCAACGGGTCACCATTTTCATCTCTCAGCATAAGCAGACTGGAGATAACATCATTCTGATCTGAAGACCCTTTTCTCCCCTCTTCCATTTCTTTCTTCCTTTCCTTTATTAGTTCGGAGAGAAGCCTAGAGATTCGGCCTCGTGCCTGCAACGCCTTACTGTACGCTGTCCCTGGAAATTTCAATGGAACAGTCCACAACCCTTTGATGGCAACAAGAAAATCTTGAAACAAATCATCTTTCTCCTTGTCTTCTTGTACTCTAAAGAGTAAACTGAAGCTGACATTGAAAGTGATTTTCTTAATGAGTCCCACCATTTTAACTGTATCCCTACCATTTAGTCCCTGGAGCAGCTCTTGATGGACTAATGAGTCCATGGAAGAAACAAATCTTTGGATGCTTTCAGGTTTCAAAAAGCTCACTATTGCACCTCTGACAAGCTTATGTCGTGGCCCTGGAAGCTCAAAGATGCTGTGTTTTCCAAGTATGGCCGCTGCTGTTCTGACTTGGTTGATCTCGATGCCGTTGTCTCTCCCGCTGAATATGAAACGATTACCGGCCTGGCCAGTGAGAACCACAACATTTGAACCCATGAGTGAAGTCTTGAACACCGGTCCATAATCGTTTACATGCTTTCGAATCCAATCAGGAGTTCTATCATTTATATGCGCCCTGATAAAGCTTATGGACTCCCCAATGAGAGGAAGGCCCAATGAACCTGGAGGAAGTTTCTTATCTAAAAGAGGGAAGATTCTGAACTTGAAGTAAGCAACAACAATGGTTACCAGGGAAATCACCACAATGATTACCTGTTGATTGGTTTCAGAAGAAAGAAGCTTAATATTAAAGAAGACATCCATAGTTTCTTGGCTGAACAACAATGCCTGACTGAATAGAGCTACTTGTTGCACATACTGCCTGACAGAATTATTATTGTATTTAGCAGTCAAAGTCATTGCTTGTGACATATCCATTAATATTTGTTTTTTTAGGACATGGATGGTCTTAATCGGCAACTCCTAAAGTCAACAACCTGTTTTCTGATTCAACCATTATTTACATTATCAGTTTCTCGTAGTTTGAAATCAATAAACTATGCCCAACAAATGCCACAAACATGAGCAACCATAGAAGTTTATTATTATTATTATTGTTGTTATAATATCACGGTCATGGATGATAAGTGTCACCTTTATTTTATTTATGGTTTGAAAGTTGCAATCATTGAGTTTTAAGTACTCTGCTGCCAATGCCATGCTATGTGAATATCATCAAACCAAAGCCATCAAGGATCAAATTTATAATGATTCATAAGGAATATTAGGCTCGAATTGGTTAACTAAAGAGCAAAATATACTGAAATGCTTTTAGGCTCAAAAGCTTACGAGAGTGTCTAATCTGCATCATGTCTTGTGCATTTTTCAATTAATAAATCAATGAAATCTCCTCACTAATTTTAAAGAAAACATTAATCATGCTCCTCTCTTTCATACATTAAAATTCAAATGAAAAATGTATTCAAAACCTACAAAGTATTTTATGATATCAAACAAAATATTTAAAGTTTCAAAAAGGAAAATCATCATGTATGAAACGAAGAATACCATAATCCAAGTAAAAAAAGAATTAATTCTTCTAAAAAATCGAAGAATTTTCGCAAACTAAAATGAAAATAACGGTTAATTATTATAAAGAAAATAATATGTATCATTAAAATCTTCCAACACACCTAAACTTTACATTATTCTCAATGTAGAACTAAGTATATTGCTCACAAACAAATGAAAAGAAAAGGATACTTCACTATTTTGTAAGCATTTAGATTGCATTTTAATAGCGCAATTGCTCACAGAAAATGAAAAGAATAAACAAAGTATATTGCTCGCTAAATAAATAAAATATAAAAAATAAATAAAGCATTTAAGTTGCCTTCCAATAACGCAATTGTTTAACGCCGTTTTGTTTGACAAAACCTTAAAACATTCAAGTCTTCACAACCAGGTATTGGGGACAACCTACTATCTTACCTCCTCCTTATCCCATATATATGGGAAAAGGGACAACCAAAATAAATAAATAAATAAATTGGGTGGTCTAAACGAAAGTTAAAGAATCATATACTCAACTCTATAAACAAAACAAAAAAACATGTTATGATACATTGTTCGTTTTAGAAACGCTAGTTACAATTCCAATTATATCCATGTGATATGGGCAATTTTACCCAAAACCCACTTTAAAAAAATCAAAAATTCCCAACTTAACACACTTTCTCTAATATTGCTTAAACTAGTCCCTTTCTGAAATCGAGGCAAAAAAACACATTTGGGGTAATGCGTCTTGCAGTGGCAAGAAGGCACATTCCCAGGGGAGCGCCTTCATTGAAGTGGCAAGACACCTAGGAAGCGCATTGTATGAGGCGTACCTTGCCCAAATTTCCATTAACTATATTTAAAACAATACACTTTAAAAAAATTAAAAATAAATAAAACTATAAGGACCAATAATGAAGTCTTTTTCTTAATGGTGTTAGTTTATATAGACATAATGGAGTGTTTAAGTTATATTTGCAAATAATGTAGGATAAAAGCTAAAAAGAGTTTTTCTACATTTTTTTCATAGTCTTTAATTTTTTTTACTTAATCCATTAAGTTAGAGTTTCTTATTTTTATAATTTAAATATAAATTAAAGTTTATATTAATTAAAATTAAATATTTTTGATATGTTAAAATATTAAAATATTTATTTTTTAATTATTAGTGTAATTTTATTAAGAAATATTTTGATGAGAATATTAAAATTAAAACTAATTAAATAATTATATATTTTATAATATTTTTATACAACATCATCAAATCCAGTTTGTTGGGGAGAAACTAATATAATTCAGATTTGTTGATGTTTACATTGGATGCATTTGAAGAAGTCAATCCATATAATCCCTTTCCAATAGCAAATATGTCAACTATTTTCCATTTCTACGAATCTCAACTTTGACATCTATATACTCAAGAATAATTGATTAACAAGGACCATATACAAAGTGAATTTTTCACATTTTACAATGAGCAAAACAAAAAACAAAGTTAATTTTTTTCTTTGTTTGAGGCCTACTACCAAAGTTCTTCAGAGCAATGAAGAAAGGATTATGGTGTGCCATCAGCCTGGAAAAAAATACAAAGCAAATAAATATTTTTAATTAAAGGAGTTTAGTTCAACGACTGATGTAAATATTAACAACTTCAAATTATACCAATTTCTCCTCAACAATATGAATTTGATGATACTTTATAAAAATATTATAATATATATATATATTTAATTAATTTTAATTTAAATATTCTCATCAAAATATTTCTTAACAAAATTTAACTCATAATTAAAAAATAGTATTTAAATATTTAAACATATAAAAAATATTTAATTGCAATTAATATAAACTTTAATTTATATTTAAATAGTAAAAATAAGAAACTCTAACTTAATGGCTTAAGTAAAAATAAAAAATTAGTAGAAGAACTCTTTTTAACTTTTATAGCATATTATTAGCAAATATAGCATAAATACTTCATTATGCCTATATAAATTAACACTATTACGCTCCTTAACTCATAAAATTTAAATAAATTGCTGGTCTTTATAATTTTGTTTTTTAATTTTTTAAAGTATATTTTTTAAAATATATTTTATGGAAATCTAAGAAAGGCATTTCTTAGGTGTCCTGCCACCTCAACGAAGGCGCTTTCTCTTGGACTCATCTTCTCTCGACATTTGCAAGGTGCATTGTCCCAAACGTGCCTTTTTGTCTTTATTTTATAAATGGTATAAAAAAATTTATATTAAGTATGAGTGAATTCTAACCCATATATATATATATATATATATATATATATATATATATATATTCTTCCGTGCTAGTGATCGGCAATCTATAGAGCCCAAGCCTAAAGGGTTTCTTCATGGAAAATTTGATGAATTAAATATAATAGTAAGATGAATAGGGGTAGGTAAAACGAACGGTGGTTAGCACTTCAATCACGTGGGTGCCCCAATGCCAAAGGCTCAAAACTCCCTAATTTGTAGAGGCAGGAATAGAAGAGAGGTTTGCTAATCCATTTTATACTTCAACAAATTTAAAGGTATTGGCCCTGCTAGTTCACCTAAAAATTCATAAATGTTATCATCCAATAACTGCAAGTCAAACGGGAGAAAAGCAGATGAATCACAAATGAAAACCTACCAACCACCTTCACCCATGCAAGACTTATAGAGGGACCAAAGTGTTAGCTACCCCATGCTGAAATGCTCATGTTCTAAGTTTCTGCCATCAATGCTTTGATATAAAGGCATCACCACTCTCTACTTTCCCATAGCACTTCGAAACTCAACCGGCTTCGCCCTTTCATTGCTTCCTTGCCTGTCTTCAACCTCCTGCAAACATAGCTAGTAAGATCAATTCTAATGGTGCTTTGATTTTTACCATCTATTTTTCTTCATTAGAATAACATGACTTGCTGGTTTCTATCTATATTTTCTGCATTTTTCAGTGAGTACTGAAATGGTGATGGTTGATGAAATCCCTTTTCCCCCACAAATCACAACTACCAAGCCACTGTCTCTTTTTGGTCATGGTAATCCTTATTCATTCTATGTTCCGTATAAATGAACTAACTGCATTAAACAGCGGGTCTTCGGATCAGAACTCGTCGTGTTAAATTCAACTATGTTTTACATGATCCTCAATATGAAAACTAGAAATGGTTCAACAATCTACATTCATTTGTGGGGGTGCAACAGGTATTACCGATATTGAGATTCACTTTCTGCAAATCCAGTTCACAGCGATTGGAGTTTACCATGAACATGAAGTTGTAGGACACTTGGAACAATGGAAGGGAAAGCCTGGAAACGTGCTAGCAGAAGATGATGACTTCTTTGAGGCTCTTGTTAATGGTACAACAAACCATTTCTTTTCATTTATTCTTCAAATTTGTAACAAAACTATCATTAGTATCTGATTTAAAACGATTTTGATCACAATTTGCAGCTCCAGTGGAGAAATTTCTGAGAGTTGTGGTGATTAAGGAGATCAAAGGTTCCCAATACGGAGTGCAGCTAGAGAGTACTGTGAGGGACCGATTGGCAGCTGTCGACAAATACGAAGAGGAAGAAGAAGAAGCCTTGGAGAAAGTGGTTGAATTCTTCCAGTCTAAATACTTTAAGAAGGATTCAATCATCACATACCATTTTCCTGCAAATTCAGCAACTGCAGAGGTATATTTTTGAGGCATATTAGTAACTCTATCCTTGAGAAAAAAACCAATCATTCATGGTTTAATGCGTGTGCGTGAACAGATTGCATTTACGAGCAAGGGAAAGGAGGAAGCGAAAATCAAAGTGGAGAATGCAAATGTGGTTGAGATGATCAAGAAATGGTACTTGGGAGGAACAAGAGGAGTGTCTGCAACTACAATTTCATCTTTAGCTAATGGCCTGTCGGCCGAGCTATGCAAGTGAAGACATGCAGTCTTATAATGAAGTTCACAGGCATTAATGTCTGATAACCATTCTGTTTGTTGTGCTTCTGTACCAATAAATTTGATCTACAAGTTGGTTGGTTTTTCACTTATTAAGAACTCAATTTGCTTTCAAACACCCAAGAATGATGAAAGAGTTGATCGATATAATTCATTTTCCTAATCAATGTAATTTTCTTTGTATATACTTAAAATTGACTTATAGTTTAATTTTACGTAAGTCATTTTTTGAAATTTTCATTTTAGAATATAAATATTCAAAATAATATTATTTTATGTATTTAATATTAATATAATATTTTAGTATCATTTTAATAGAAATATTAATTATTAAAAATATTTAAAATATATTTATTAATAATATAACATTTATTAATATTGTAACAGTATACTCAATTATATTATAATAATATATGATATTATATTTTTATTTTAATAATATATAATAAATTATTAATAAAATTAATATTTTTATTAATCTCATAAAAACAATATTATTGAATTATCAATAGTGAATATATTATTTTATGCACTTAACATTAATATAATAATATAGTAATATTTTTAAAAAATTCTTCAAAATATATTTTTTAATAATTTTTAAATATAATATAATATTTTTATTTTAATATTATAATTTATAATATTATAATATCATTATTATTATTTTAATAATTACTTAATATAATTAATAATATACATTATTTAAAAAAATATAATATAGCATATATAATTTTAATAAATAATTAATATAATTTATAATATTTTATTTTAATAGAATATAGTAGTCTTAATATTTTTTATTTATAAGAGTGTACAAATAATATTGAATAAATTATTCTAATATTCTAAAAATAATAATATTGAGTTTTTATAATAAAAAATATTATTTATTGTATTCTATGTTTATAATAAATAATTTCTAAAAAAATTACCAATTAGTAGAAATAGTTTACACAATATCATCCAAACATCATAAAATAATTTTCAAAAATTGATTTTTAGAAAATATATTTCATTTTACGAAAAATATTTGTCGAAAACTATTTTCAATGAAAACAGACCCTAAATACATATTTGTTTCACCTTATTTATTAAAAAACAATGTCATTATTATTTTAGTTTATCTTTTATATATAAATGATCCGATTTATAATAAAATCTTGTGAAAATATAATTTTCCTTAAAAGGACCTTAATTAATTATTATTATTGTGGGTTTGAACAATAATAATATATTAAGATTACTATGTAATTTATTGATAATAAATCATTGTCAATAATATGGGATGCCAAAATCAATTCATGAGTATGTATTATAGAACATTATTGGACGGACCCACTATGAATATGTTTTTTGAATTATTATGTAATAGTCGCAACATTATCTTAAGTGATAATTATATATACGATCCTTTGATTTGAGATTATTATTATCCCAACATCGTGAATCATATATTTTGAAACATTCAAACGTCTATTATAATTGGTAGTACTATAAAGATTGATGTTAGATACTCTATAATATATGTAATGTGATATGGTTGATCAATAAATGATTTATCTCATACATAATGAGAGTTATATTTGTTACACTTGATTGAGTAAAACTAGAAATTTATGGTCATACTCAAATAAATTGATATGAGATATCACATTTGTTTATTTTTTAAAGTCTACTCCAAATATCGAGAAACATGAGATGAACTATACAAGTGTGATTATTCCATGACTTGGGTCTAACCTAGATATTAAGAGGAAAAATATATACTACATCAAACGATTTCTCATAACTTAGGTAGTAAAATGTATTTCTAGATATCACTCATTGTTTATAACAGACTTAATGTAAAAATAGGTGCCCAAAGTATTTTCAAAGTTAATTTTAGGTGTTAAAGTATTTTTCGTTAAAAATAAGAGTCTAACGTTTTCACCAATACACTTTTAGGTACCTAACGTTTCCGACGTTATGTTTTAGGTCCCTAGACTATAACAACCGTTAAATATGATCGTTAAGTGACACGTGTCAATTTTTATAGAATTTTAAAAAAATTATTTAAAAAACACTTTAATTTTTTTTTAAAAAAAATCATATTTTCTTGAAATTATTAGAAAAAACTCCAAACTTCCTTATAAACCTAATTTTAATCCCTTTGCCACCGCTGACCTCCAACATTCCAACAGTCGAAACCTTTGCTCCAACTTCTAATTGCATCGATCAATCGAAGATTGCAATGTGAAAATAAGAGGTTTCGATCTTTGGGTGGTTGGTCGGCCGAACAACGTCGGGTATTTGGTTGATTGACGACATTGGTGGCGGTCGACGGTACTAAGGGATTGAAATTAGGGCTTTTCGAGATTTTGGAGTTTTTTTTTTATAATTTTAGAAATATTGGAGTTTTTTTTTTAAAAAATAAAATTTAATTTTAAGTGTTTTTTAAATAAAATTTTATTTTTCTTGACACATGTCGCTTAATGGTTGAATTTAACTGTTGTTATAGTCTAGACACCTAAAAATATAACGTTGAAAAAGTTAGACACCTAAAAGTGTAACGAAGAAAACTTTAGGTATCTATTTTTAACAAAAATACTTTAGGCACTGAAGTTAACTTTAAATATATTTCAGACATTTATTTTTGCATTAAACTTTTATAATATTAAAATTATTTTAATATTAAAAATAACGTTACAAGAATCTATTACAACACATCATATGGTTCAAGAGAATGAAATTCAAACATAATTATCAATTAGTATTGTGTTTAGCTATCACATGAAGTAGATTGGTTATTAATTTAATTTAATTCAATGGTTTAAAAAAAATATTTTGTAAAGATATTTTAAAACAATAATTTTGAAAATAGTTTATATATATATATATATATATATATATATATATATATATATATAGCTAGTTAGATAAATAGATAAATAGATATATAAATAGATAGATATATAGATAGATAGATAAATTTATTGTTAAAAATATTAAATAAAATTTTATTTTGAATGGAGGGATTATTTGAAATATTATTCATTTAATATATATCAATGGATGATAACTAAATTTGCAATAATTATTTATAATAAAATTAAAATTTTGATAATTATTTTATAATTTTTAAAATTTAATTATTAATTTTTATATGATTAAGGTAAATTACATGTTTAGTATCTCAATTATTATTTTTGTTTTATTTTGGTCACTCAATTAGTTTTTCAAAAATCATACCAACGTTTAGTTTTAATTTCATTTTGGTCACCAATCGTTAAAAAATTAATAGTGATGCTGATAATGCCACATCATCATTTAATAAAAATGCCATATCAACAATTCAGTTAACTTTTTAATGGTGGGTGACTGAAATGAACCAAAATGTAACATTATGTATGAATTTAAAAAACAATTAGGTGACCAAAATAGAATAAAAGTGATAGTTAGAATAGTAAACTTTGAGTTTGCCCTATAATTTAATGATCATTTGTGATTAAAAAAAAGCTTAAAAGGAAAGTATTTGGGTCAGCTCTGTTACTCTCAGAGTTCGCCTACTGATCTCAAATCTATAAAGAAACACCAGAAATGCAGGATCCGCAAAATATGAATACGAACACGAACACGGATCCGCAAATTCCCTCCAATACATCAGCAACCCCGCAAATTATGCCGTCTTTCCCTATCCTTCGGGGCTCTTACCACAGGCGAACCCAATCCGAAGTCCAATTTCGGATTCCACACGACTTGGATCTCGTCTCCGACCCCTTCGAAGGGTTGGGATCCGAAGACGACTTGTTTTGTAGTTACATGGACATTGAGAAGCTAGGGGGCTCATCAACAGGAGTCGACAAAGGAGAGGTAGCTGCTGTGTATTCCTCCAGTGGATCGGCTCAGAACCCCAAACGAGAGGAAATGACTGGTGGGTCCGACCACAGGGAGAAGAATAATAGAAGGCATAGGTATAGTAATTCGGTTGATGGGTTCTCCATAATGGAGTCAATTGAAGCTAAGAAAGCCATGGCTCCTGATAAGCTTGCTGAATTGTGGGCTATAGACCCAAAGAGAGCTAAAAGGTTTGGGAATCACTTTTTTTTTTCTTCTTTCCCCCTCCCCCCCACTTTTGGATTTAACTTTTTCGGATTTTAATGCATTTGGTTTAAGGTACTTATGGGATTGAAGAAGTTGTAAATTTGCAACTTTTAGTATAAAGTTATTTTTTGTTTATTTTGTTTTATGTGGAGTATACATGGGAACTATTAGAAGAGGATGACATATTTTTGTTGAAAGAAATTGTATTTTTGGGTTATAAATGGTTATGGTAAATACATTTGACTCTTCCCCCCCCCCCGGAAAATTATGATGATTTTGTTTAAAGTGTTTGTTTATCATGATGGTGAAGCTGATTTTTTTTAAATCTTCTTTTTTGACTTTGTATGAATGGAGTTTTGGACAGTTTAGGAAGTAAAGTGAGGAACGAAGTTGAAACTTTGTTTTCAATTTAGAAAGAAATTGAGGTTTGGTAGAATTTCTAAAAGTATTTCTTTTTATTTATTCAAATTATTTCAATTATATAAATTATTTCCTAATTATAAGTTCTGCTTACAAATTGATTTTTCTTAGCTCAACTTCTTGTTTTCCCTTCACTTTTCTCACCCCATGACGAAATAAATTTTCTTATAGTAGGATGTTTGATTTCGGAGAACTTCTTATATGTATGCAATTTTATGAATCAAATTCATGTGAACTACAACTTGTCTTCAATTTATATGGGCTTCTCTATGCTTTGCTTCTTCTTTTTTTCACTTCTTTTTCCATTTCCTTCCTTCGGAAATGTTTTATAATTTTATTTTTCCTGAGGTTTCTGCTTTGATTATCGTTTAATAGATGTCATGAATACCGAACAGATTAATTATTATTAGTAAATTAGATCAGAATTTGCTTTGCACAATTTCTCATTACATTACCATTACTCCATTAGCATATCGCAAATTACCGACCTGTTCAATATCGCTCGATCCGTCAATAAAATGACTTATTGGTAGTTATGGAATTCGTTAAAATTATAATTGGAATTTTTCACATTCAAGCACTTTTAGTTTCGTTTAAGTTTGATTTAAAGCAATAAGCTGTTCTTTCTAAACTTCAGAATTTGCGGTAGTGTGGATTGGTAAGGAATTGCGCACTGATTTCATACATCCTGGAATGCTATAACTTCTTTTGTTGTTCATTTTCTCATATGTAAGAATGATAACCTGTATCTTGCCTAAGCGCTGACTTTAAGAGGGATTCTCTTCTGTCCACTCAACACACCTCACCTTAGTTGCAACAAAAATTTCTAAAAGTAAATTTGGCAAATCTCATCATGTGGTGAGATGGGTTTGAACTGAAGTTTTTGCTAACAAAGTACATGCTTTTTTTGTAGGATCATTGCAAATCGGCGTTCAGCTACTCGCTCTAAAGAAAGGAAAGCACTATATATGTCTGAACTGGAGAGGAAAGTCCAAACACTTCAAACTGAAGCAACTACTCTGTCCACACACTTAACCCTGTTCCAGGTTTTTGTCAAACACTTGCATGTCTCATTACATAATTTTGGGTCTTGTTTTTGCTGCTGTTTGCATACCTTATGAGAATCTCATATCTACACATTAAACAATCAATAATCGGCAATTGTATTTTCAAATAAATCAAAAGCTTTTTACAATTGGGGCTTTAATTCTTATCATTTCCTGATTTCACATGCTTCTAATCTGTCGAAGGCATCCAATTTTCCGGAAATGCCATTATTTTTTGGATATGCTCTAGTACTATCTCACATTTTAGGTTCTAGTTCCTTGTTCTGTGATTTCATTGAATTTGATCCTTGTACTTTTATCAAATGTGATACAGTCTAATTGGTCATGATGTGAATTCCTGCTGTCAGATTGAGTGATGTGGCATGAACAAGTGCAATTTTTCGGCCAGATGGCCACATGCTTCTTTGTTATTTTTCTGTTCTATTCTTGAATACTTTTCTATCAAGTTCTATTATATAATTATGATAAAGAATAAAAACTAAAATAATCCCATGTGTCATTCCAGGTGGCCACAACTTTCTCATGCCACCATATATAACAATAACAAATCTATACCGTCAGCATTTGATAAAGGATAGGGGTTAGTACGAGGATTAGTTCTAAATCCTTAAAAGTGGGATAGTAGAGAGATCAGTCTTCCTTGTTGGCCATTTGATGTTGCTTTTTATAACACCTGAATGTTAACTGTCTAAATTTTTGTGTATACTCTAGAGAGATACGACAGGCTTAACTACTGAGAACACTGAGCTTAAGCGTCGGCTACACGAAATGGAACAACAAGCTCACCTATGTGATGGTACGTTCTGTCCAGGCAGCATGCTTTCAGAATTGTATGCCCAATCATATTCATGGGCATGTTCATTTCCTATAGAAGTTGAACGTTAGTAATAATAATAAATGGCATTGAATTAGTCAAAACTATGGATGCCCATTTTAACTAGTGTTCTAGGCATTAATTTTAAAGCTCGTGCCTTGGATAGCATTAAATTTAATATTGTCCATTTACATGCAGGCAGGGAGTTATGATTGTATCTATTCCTTGGTATTTCATTTATAGTTTTTCTTATAGTCCGTTTTTTATTACAGCTCTGAATGAAGCGTTGAAGAAAGAAGTAGAGAGGCTCAAGACTGCTACCGGAGAAATAATGACAGCAACTGATACCTTTAATTTAGGAATGCAGCATATATCATACACCCAATCGTCTTTCCTTCCTTCCCAGAATATACAAATACCACCTTTTCATCCTTTCCAATCTAACTTATTGACTCCATGTCCTTCTATGGTAGCTGCATCCAACTCCAACTTCCATGCCTTTGCCGATATAATGCATCAAGATCCTCTTGGCCTCTTGCAAGGGCTTGATATTGGTAGCAAGGGTTCGACTTAGTGAAATCCGAAGGCCCTTCAATTTCTGCCGCCGAAAGCAGTGGAACAGTATGATTACAGATTCTGTGATCTACGATACCTTGCCCTCCCCTATTTGTTGGACTGTTCATAGACTGACCTTGTTGACATGAAAAGGTACTAATCATTTGAATTCAATTCCTTTAATGTCATTCTTTTGTTGTGAATTTCATTTTTTTCCTTTTGGGAGAAATGATATGGGGTTACAAGTTTTATCCATAGGAGTTTATCAATGCAACATCTCAAACCAGCATCTCCCATTGCATTGTCGATTAAATATTGTTTAAAGTTGTATTGCTGGTGAATTTCTTCAAATTGTTGTTGTTTTAGTTACATGTTTGTATTTTTTTTAAGTCTTAATATAAAAATAAGTGTCTATACCATTTTTTTCCATTTAGGTGTCTAAACTATTTTTTGGTGGGTAATTTTTTTTAAATTTTTTTAATATAATAATTTATTTTTAAGTTTTTTTAAAAAATAAATTCTTCAAAATTAATAGAATATGATATGTTCCACTTAACGAGACTTTTTAATTGTTATTACGGTCGGAGTACTTAAAATTATAACGTTTGCAACGTTGGACATCTATATTGACCGAAAAATAATTTAAACACATAAATGAGAAAAACGATATAGTTTAAACATTTATTTTTATATTACGTTTTTTTTAATGTACAAGAAGATGTGAATTATATATGTTTGTACAAAAATATAGTCACAAGCCTCATTAGATTTTTTGTATGCCAACAACGGTGATGAAAACCCAAGAGAATTATTAAACATCGGTCGGGTTGGTTCAACGGTGAAGAAAATCCATTGCACAAATCCACTACACGTAGTAATTACTTAAATATTCATATGTATAAAAAATTACCAAAATATCCCTAACGTTTGTTAATGTGTTTTAAAAGCATAACATTACTAAAAGAGCACTTGATGATGTAGTATTGGTTGTCATACTATATGTATATCTAATGTAGTCATTAAGAAGCATTCTACATTGCATTACATGTTGCATGAAGTTCGAGAGGCTTCATCCTATTTATTATGTTAATCATGACAAGGTAAGAGACTTCATGTTCTTAAAGTATTAAGAGCATTGTACGTATCATCTTGTATGTGCATTTATGAAAATATTCATGAAAATATATAGACACAAAGATATTCATATATAAAAGATGAACAATTCATGAATCATGAAATTATCACGAGTTCGAGTATGTATGACATGATAAATGATTATAGGTTTATGATGTTTATATTATTGCTCAAGTAAATTAGATGGAGGTCACGTGGTATAATTGTATGCTTAGGGTCGAGTAGCTAGATATTGGACCTTCGGGTTCGTTCATCTTGCTTGAGAGTTTCACTTGATGTTGAGTTACATTTGGACCTTGGGGTTCGTCAACCTTACGTGATTGATTCTGTTTGGTATGAGTTTGGACCTTTATGTTCATTCATCCTACAAGAGTTATTCCGCTTGATGTTGAGTTAGGACTATGGTGCATTTGGACCTACGGGTTCATCCACCTTGTGCGATAGGTTCCATATTGATGTTGAGTTTCATGACATTTATACCGATATTGACCCGCGTCACCTAGATAAACCCATTCTATAGTTTATTTTAGGCATCCTTAATTATAAACTATGATGATTAATCAAAATCAAATATGACATGATGACATTGATGTTCCTATGTATAACATACACATGTTACTGATGATTTATAAAGATAGACTAAAAACAAGCATGACATGAAAATATTGTTGTTCATATGTATGATAGACATACACATGTTATTTATATATCTATGAATGATATATTTACATGTATTGCTAATGGATTTAAGTATGATAACTCAAAAAGGGCAACTAAAATTGTAACATTCCTAAAATCGATTTTGTATTTTCTGGTTTCATATGATCAGAGAATATATTCTAATGCTTATGTAGAATTCTAGAAGAATTAAATTAGATATGAAATTAAATTTGAATAACTAGAATTAGAAGGGAATCAATTTTAATAAAGATAAAGGATTAAATAGTAAAATGTGAGAATTTAGAAGTTAGGGATTAAATCATAAATAGGGAAGTCAACGGGTTGGGTCAAAAAATATATACCATCCACCCGACTCGAAGAGCATGTAACCCCCTAATTCCGGCCTGGGCGTTATGCCCAATTCTAGGCGGTTACATATCTTATTTAGAAATTTCTTTTCATATTTACAATAACGTTCAAATCCATATATAGTATAATATGAAATTAGTCATAAGAAAAGTTCTTACGATAAACGTCCATATATCAATATATATGTATATCAGAAAAACCATATAAAACATATACATAGAAAAATACTGGTAGTATGGATATATCGAGACGGAAGCAAAAACAAGTGTCATCAAAGTATAACAAAAAGGTATATAGAGATATATAGTGATACAAAAATAGGAGTAGCCGGTCCTCCTGATGCCAAGTTTGTTAGCCTACGGTATGCTACTATATGAAAAGGTTAAAATTTACAGAATGAGCTAAAAAGCCCAGTGTGCTCTTTACGGTGTACAAAAACATACAAATAAAATACTTCAATAAAATCAGTTTATCAAACATGTTTTAAAAATATGAACACTACCCTCATCCGATCACCATAATGTGTAGGTTCCCCATAACCATACACCCACCTATACACCCGGTAAGAGCCTTATACACATAACATAAGGACATGTGGTAAGGACTTACCCTGAGAACAAAGCAGAGGAGCTTGCGGTAAGGACTTACAAGTCATAAACTAGGCCTGAGATACTTCCTCCAATAATACCCCCAATGACAGTAATAAACATGTATGTATTCGAGTGAAAATAATAGTTTAATTCAGTAAAACACAAAAATATTCTAGACTCAGAAATCAGATACAAAAATACAGAAATCAGAGATCATGCCAGAAATGTACAGTAAATCAGATATCAGATAAACGATATTAAAAAAATCAGATATTGTGTCATAAAAATATTCAATATTATCATAAATCTAAAGTATTTCAGATGAACAATTTAAAACAGTATTGTAACACCATCAGGAAACACATATGTACCGATCTGAGTAGTCTGATAAGCGGGCTTGCTACTGATTCTGCCGATCACAATCAGTGACAGTACTAGATCCTATGAATCAAAAAAATCCATACCATAATCCTAATATGAATAATAATAATAAACCCTATTTATACAATTTAAAGATACCCACGAGTAACTCTCAAGGAACGATGATCGTGTGGATTTGACGAACGAGAAGCATCAGATCTAACAGACCCTCAGTCGGGTGAAATACGAGTACCTTCATAAAAATATATTCTCGATTCAATTCCATAATCAAATCTCAATTACATAAGCAAAAACGCTAAAAATACTAAATATTTTTAGATTAACGGTCTCGATTTGGGGCTTTCGGGTCAGAATCTGGCAAAACGGTTCGCAGAATTGGAATCAGGAAGTCAAAAAATGTTAAGATGGAGGTTTTAAAAAAAGGTCAACGTCGGTCAACGATCAATGGTTGACCAGTTCGGGTCGAGTTAGATCAGGTCGGACAAGCGGGTCGGATTGACCCATCATCAAGCAGGCCACCAGGCGGTGGAACTTCCCCACGTGCACAAGTGACGCGTGGGGGTGCATGCAGAGCCTTCAGGGGTCTGAAAAATTACAAAAAAATTTCTATGTACTTTTAAAGGGTTTTGAGACAATTACCGAGCTCGATTCACAACGATAAACGATAGAGAGATTGATTTCAAAATTTCTCATCCCCTCACACGCCAGCGACAACGGAGACAAAGTGGACACCAATAGACTTGGGACAACGCAAGGAACACGATGGTACGAGAGGTGTCGAAAATAGAGTAATGGTCGATGATGAAACGATGATTGAAATTTCTTGCTAAAAGATGAAAACTTAAAGATAAAGAAAATAGGGTTTCTAAATGAGAAAACTTTCTAGATTTAGGGTTTCTAGATTTAGGGGTAATATATTCCCTAAAAAGGAACATGGAAAAATTACACTGTAGGTTCTCTAATTTTTGATACTTTCTGAATTTAGATCCGAGTTTAATCAAAATTTCACTTTGGCCCCCAAATTTTAGTTATAATTTTAATTTAGTCCTCATAAGAATTTTAAGAAAACTTTTAGGCCCTAAGTTGAGGTGTGACAACTCTCCCCCTTGAAAGAAATTTCGTCCTCGAAATTTACCTGATGGAAATAGATGCGGAAACTGAGCTTCAATCGACTCCAATATCTCCATAGTAGCTTCTGAGAGGCCATACTCCATTAGACCACCGGAATATGCCTATTCCGAAGAACTCTCTCATCCCGATCTAAAATCTAATGGGCTCCTCCTCATAAGATAAATTAGGTCTTAATTCTACCTCATCAATCTGAATGATGTGACTTGGATCTGGACGATATTGCCTCAACATAGATACATGAAAAATATCACGAATGCGACTGAGCTGGGGAGGCAACTCAAGCTGATAAGCAATAGGTCTGACTTTTTTCAGAATACGATATGACCTAATAAATATCGGGCTCAATTTACCCTTACATCCAAATCTCAACACTTTTTCCCATGGAGATATTTTCAAAAAGACCTAAACCCCAACCTCAAACTCGATATCATTCCATTGCTTATCTGCATAAGATTTCTACCTATCGAACGCATCTCTCAAGCGATCACGGATCAATCTGACAGTATCTTCAGTCTGTCGAATTAGCTCTGGACCCAATGTTTTTTATCATGCAAATCAATTTAACAGATAGGAGTACGACATCGACGTCCATATAGAGCCTCATATGGTGCCATGCGAATACTTGCTTGGTAACTGTTATTGTAAGCGAACTTTGCTAAAGGAAATAAATCTCCCTAACTACCATGAAATTCAATCACACAATCCCATAGCATATCTTTCAACACCTGAATCACTCGCTTAGACTAACCATCAGTCTGCGGGTGAAAAGTTGTACTGAAATTCAAATGAGTACCTAGAGCCTCGTGAAAAGCTTTCCAGAACCTAGAAGTAAACTTCTGATCTTGGTTAGAGATGATGGAAAATGGAACACCGTGGAGTCTAACGATATCAGAGTTATACAATTTAACCAACTTGTCTAAAGAATAATTAACCCAAATAGGAATAAAATAAGTTGACTTGGTGAGTTGATTCGCAATCACCCAAACAAAATCCTTTTTGGAAGGAGTAAGAGTAAGACCTGTAATGAAGTCCATCGTAATACGCACTTACTTCCACTCAGGAATCTTAATAGATTGCCAATCTTGATGTATGTTGGTGCTCTGCCTTAACCTGTTGACAAGTTAGAAACCTCGCCAAAAATTCTGAAATATCATTCTTCATGCCACTCTAAAAGTATCGCTCCTTGATATACTTATACTTTTTGTCCCCACCATGATGCATGGCATAAGGACTACTATGAGCCTCCTAAAGAATAACACGTCTTAACTCATCATCTTTAGGGACGCAAAAACGACCATGAAAGCACATAATGTCATCATGACCAAAAGTATACTCTGAACTCGTTCCCTGCTCAACCTACCCAATCATGGGAAGTAAGAAGCTATCTAGGAGTTGTTTAGCCTTAATCTCTTCAGCTAAAGTGGGTTTAACTTGTAACTTTAC